CATATAGATGGTTGTGATACATCACGATGTCACCAGGGGTCATTTCACTGTCACAACATCCATTGTCCACAGGTGTCCACTTCAGCATCACTGACCGGTTCACTGGGCCTTTTTTTCAGCAAATTATTTCAAGCATACACCATGTAAATATTTTCTGTCACCACTGAGCATTCAGTCAGTTGGGTAATAACTGTATTGCTAACCTTCGCCCTGAGCATCAGAGTTTACCAGAAAACCGCCTCTGTTTATATCAGAAAGGAGAGGCAAGTCACTATTGTTACTCTGAAACTCAGGGTGGCAAGCCTCCAGCTTAGAAACTAGGCCGAAACTATGCTCTTTGGCTATGATGAAAATTGTATAGGCATAAGAAAGTGAAATGTGGAAATTGCTGTACATCAATTTGTCATTTTGACAAACAAAAACTTTATCTAAAAGTGACCAGGGACAGATAAAGATATTGGCCATTAAACAAAAATCAAACAGAAAAATTCACATCCTGAATGACTGGCATGATACTCAGATATTAAGAATTAACTCCAGATACTAAAATTAATTCGACTAATGAAGAGTTACAATAGTTTATTGTTTTGTAACACAAAGCATATTTATAACATATGATAATATTCATTTACTTCATTCATTTGCCCAGATATTGGGGGGGGGGGGGGGTATTCATTTAAGTCAATGAAGTTAATGAACAATTAACTAAGTAAATATAGTAAAAAATAAAAATAATAGCCTGTACTTAAGGTCCAAGAAAAGAGAATGGTATCTGACACTGGCATCTGTGTAAATTCTAACTGATTTTAATTAGATTCCAACGTAAAAATAGCCTGAAGGAAAGCACTTCTTTCTAAAGAAATCTAATTTTTTCAAAGTTGTCAACCTCAATTTGTTCACCTAGTCTGTAAAATGTTAATTCTTTTTGGGTCTATTGTCATGGTAAATTCTGACTGAAGACAGTGACTTAGTAAAAAATGGGTAAAAACAGCCCCTTTAAACCAACACCAACACATAATTGCAAACACTTTGTAATGCCATTCCAATAATCATATGCATAATGATAACATAAGCGACAGTAAAATCACTATGAATCCAAATAAAGTAAATTAAATGCTTTAGTCAGATTTTTTAAATCAGTATGCTGAAGTCCTTGTTCAATGTTAACTCACGTAAGCTTCCATTCTTAAAAAGAAATGAAAGAATCATTAAATTCCTCGTTGGGTCAAAAGAGAGGTGGTTTAACCCCATGCAAAGCCAAGTGTGCCCCCAAGCCAACGGCTGTGCCCAGTAATTGAAAAGTTATGTTTAGTCACCTGACTAATTAAATACAGAAACAAAAATGAAACAAAACAATACTGTAAATTCAAAATGGACCATGCTTAAACAGCAACTGGAGAAGAAAGTCATATTTTAGTTCCAATGAAATGATTAAGGGGCCATTTTAGTACAAAATATGGACTGAATTTTTCTTACATCATCTGTGATTAACCGATATATTGCCAAAGCATTTATTGCATTTCCTTGCATTTTTATTTTGCAAAAATACATGATAGCAGAATATAGGGACAGTACTGTTTTGATATTTAAAAAATAAAAACACTGATTCTCTCTCTCTCTCTCCTTATTGTACAAGACAGTCTGAATGTTATTTTACATCAAGTCAAAAATAAAATTCAACAAAAATTATACAAACATAAAAGCAAATCTTACACCATTAAGCACAAACTTGGATGAGGAAAGTTCTCTTAGGTGATACATACAAATAGACAGTCTGTCAGATTGGTGTTTTACAACTTCTTTTGCCCCATTTAACGTGAAACAAAAGTCGTCTGACATTTTAACACCATGTATCCTGCACCAATTACTGTCCCAAGGAGAAAGTCAGACCAATTCACTGGATCATATTATCAAAACAAATGTAATATGGTAAAGCCTTGCAGCCACACATGTGAACCCCTTCAAAAATACTACCGCAGACAGTTAAACTCTATATCAAATTAACTTTCACAGAAGGCCAGTTGCCTGGAAAAAAGTTGGAAAGCACTTACTCCGAATTGTTTTAGCATGTTTTGAGGACAACGTTTCTGTTCGTGTTTTCAATACTCCAGATATCTAAGAAACTGACTGAGAAATTGTGGAATTTCCACCAATAACCTATGTTCTTAAACACATTTTTAAGGCATATGTTTGGAACTTTTTGACTAAGAATTTAATTACCACATATAATTGCATTGCGTATATATTAGCCTGAAGTGTTAAAATCATCACATCTAGAGCACTTTTCCGTTTAAAGTTTGCATCTCTTGAACCAGATGTCACAAACAAGTCATATTATGTAAATTCTTTCAAAGCTCTTATTAGCCGCACACTGTTAATACATCTGCCAGGATCAAATTGAATTCCAATTATTCACCATTTTAAGCAACAAATATTTGAGGAAATGCCACATTTATCTATTCATTACACACTCCATAGGTTTCTTAAGTGGGAGGCCTGGGTGTCAAGGTTTTCTCTCCACTTTAAGCCATGATAGTTACAAATGGCAAGTGACATTTTAAAAGTCATTTCCCTGTTTAGTAATGCAAAAGTACTGTAAGGATGTTTGTTAAAATACTATTCAGTTTCACGAATTGAAACATTTACAAAATTATTTAATCTTCTAAAAATAATAAATCACTATTCAATTTCAATCCTTTTTTAAAATCTATTAGTCCAAATGAGGACATTTCAGTAACGGTGATAATAATTTTTTGAAGTAACAAACAAGGTGCAAAAGTACATGATAAGGAGGTTCAATTATAAAAGTTTCAATGAAATTGACTGGAAACTGTTGACAAAGATGGCCATACTGAGATACTTGGTCCATATGAACTAAGTATTATTCATATCTCATTAATTTCATTTGTGTAAAAAAAAAAAAAAAGAAATGAAAACCAAGAAAAAATTTCACTTTACACGTATATAATAACTGGCCAAAGACGGATAAACAATCACAGACGTATGGACAGACAGATATTTTCAATATAACCCTCCTCTGTGTTTTCCCAGCTAATCACTGTCACATTTTACCTTTACTGAGTTTTCTCCCCTTTATCCTCATCATATCTTCTTACAGATGCCTCATTTATAGAGAAAAGAAATAAATCCAAGGAACAAATGAACCGAAAGATTCAGAACCCAGGCCAAAGGACTCCCATATCACAAAAACATGTATTTTTTCCAACTTTAGTAACCCCCACAGGCTTTTCTGTCTGAACAGAAACCATCAAAGATCTCTTAAAGTGTGTTTTACAAATTGATACTGTTCAAGTTTTCAAGTTTTCTTTGGCTGAAACATTCTCCCTGTCCATCTATCCAAATCCAAGGGGCCTTGAGTTTCTACGTACAGCCCTGAACCATGGATGTCACAATTAACAGTTTCTTTGGCCCAATTTACTTTATTCATTTTCCATATTTCTGACCACAACATCCACATGCAGGCCCTGAGTAAGCATGCAGTTTAATATACGTATAGAACACAACTACACTGCAGTTTCTCATGAACCCCACTGCATTGAGTTCAAAGGGGTAGATACTATTTGTTTTATTTGTTAATTATAAGCTCAGTGGTTTGCTTGGCCTTGTCTTTGAAATGGCCTTGGGCACAGTAAAAAGTATGTTGAAGTTTTTCCTTGAATCAACTTCATGTATTGTTTGATTATTATTTTTTTTATATAAGTGGATGCCAAACTATTGCTTATAGAAAAAAGACAGCAAAAAACAACAGATGAAAAGGTGGATTTCTCTTTAAATTCCTTATTCCATTATAGAGCATGACTAAAATTCCTCATTCAAAACTCCTAAGACCTCTTTTTATATATATTCAATGGTCAAAACAGTTAACAGAAAATGAGTAATGATGTCCTATCTGAATCATTTGAAATCATTCTAAAATTGAGTCAATTAACTTGAACCATAAAATGCTTCAGCAAGCACTAATGTAAACAATGTTTTTTTGTTTTTGAAATAAACACCGAGGGACATTAAACTTTGAATTTTAAACCATAAACTTGAAATATGATGACAATTTTGACATCTTATTAGGGAACAAATCCATCTACAATGGAGGCTACTCAGATGATTTTTCTGTAGGAAATGTTTCTACAGACATTTGCCAGGGACAAAACAGAAACACACACAAATTGAGCAAATAACATGACATGTTAATTGCCCCTTATTTTAACGAATAAGGAAGCAAATACTAACATGATATCAACCCCTTTAGACAGATTCAGATGCTGCACTGTGTAACCAAGCACACATGCACACAAATGCAGAAACCCAATCAAAAACTCTATCTTGCAATGGCAATAAAAGCACCTTACTTTTTGTGAATGAGCCTCAAGAACTGTTTTCTGTGCAGTAATGCAAGTCAACACAAGAACCCATCCCCTTCTGGCAAAAATAAAGTAAAAATAAATATACACTGACAATCTTGACATTGGTGCATTTTTTAACACTCAGTCAGTGCCGTATCAAGCAATAAAGTTTACAGCTACTTAACAAGCACTCTTCAGGGTCAGGACATAAAATGTTTAACATATTTCTAACTGCTTACTACTTCAACTGATGTAAATTATTAGTTCCTTTAATTCAAACCACTGCTGTATACATGTACAACATCAACACTGCCTGTATACACTGTGCTATGTCACATAAATGAAAAATATGTTTTTTTCTAAAAGGCCACAAAAGAAAGATGCCACAAAAGAAACAGCATTTTAAGAACAAAGTGATGTAATTTGGGTGTAAGTATCATCGGTGTTTAAATTAAAATTCAGATTTGTACCAAACCTCCTACCCCAACATCCACACTGCATACTATATATGTACCAGTACTCAACAACCCAACAAATACAAATAAAACAGTAAAGGAATTCGAGTCAAATACTACAAGACGAAATTGATTAAACATTATCCTTGGCTAGCATTCACCCAACATTAAGGACGAGAGACTACTACTACTCTTTTCCCTCTCAAGCCTTAAGCAAAACCATCAAAAAAATTGACTCCTCCTTTTAACAAACATGGCAAAGTACACCCACAAACTTTCAAGCAGACCACTTGAGGCAACTGATATATAACCTACTTACCCTAGCCCAACTTGCAATTTATTAATAACTCTCTGATTAAACAAACACCACAAAACACGCCACAAACTTTCCAGGAGTAAACTGTTGGAACTTGCAGAATGGCAGGTGCCAATCAAATGGTTGCTAGACAACCAAAAAGGCAAGTGCTATAAAACTTAGGCAGGCATGTGTCTTATCTTACTACTTGGTCAGTACCTCCGTGAGATAGGAGATACACTTGTGTAAAACAGAATGCTTTGGAAAACAACTTAATCTAGCAACACTTCAAGAGATCAGTCCAGGACCAATTTTTAATTAATCAGACAGCAAGAACAGTCCAGAAACAAGGTATGTTGAAATATTTGCTTTTTTTTTATCCAAATACATGTAATGTAATTTTTGTTATCTTAGAATTAATTTATAGAACTATGTCACTTTTTCAAAATTTAGGGAACTGCATTGATTTCTCCCTTTCACAATACTTTTGGCAGTAACAAACTTCAAGATTAGCTTGTAAATAAAATTATATATAACAGAATATTACTGTTATGACAGAACTATCTTAGGGCATTCACATAAGTCATGGCAAAATGCAGCTCTGACCACCTCATTTGCATCCACATATTCACACTGATTACATTACATCATAGTGGGTACACAGCATGTGAACAACCAACTAGTTCAAGTTGATCATTTTGATCATACTGGCTCCACAGACCATGGTCATGACATGACATAGCCTTAGCTGATTGCATTATGCCCCCAGCATACTGTTCTGTAACCAGAAGTTGATTGCATATCATCTTGCTGTGTCCCCAGCAATCAGTAGGGGCTGATTGCATAGCATCACACGGGCTTTGTAGGACATGTTCAAGGAATCAATCTAATTAGATACTAACAGGCTAACTTCAGTATGGAATTTGAATGAGTTTCATCCTTTTAATCTTCCCACCAGAAAATAAGCTTTATAGCTGAACTGTACTAGGCTCAACTAAAACAGGTATAGATATTTTTGTGAATGGTGTAGTTTCATGAAAGGGGCATGTATTGAGTTACATCAAACACCACAACTTTGTTTTCCTAACAATAATAATAGCACTGAATGTATGCTTAGATTAATCTAAATGGAATGGTGTGTGTGTGTACATATCCAATAAGCCGTGACCATCTGAGGTGGACTGTGTGTTGGCATCTTCAGTTTCTGAGGGGGCGGGGCTGTATTGACAGTTACCCTGAGTATCTGAGGTGGGGCTTGTGTTATGACTGGCACCCTGAGTTTCTGAGGGGGTGGGGCTGCTGCATTGACTGGCACCCTGAGTTTCTAAGAGAATAGGGTTGGTGTTTTGACTGGCACCCTGAGTTTCTGAGGGAGGGGGGCTGGTATAATGACTGGTACTTTGCATTTCTGAGGGGGTGGGGTTGCTGTTGTATGACACCCTGCATTTTCAGGTGGGCTGATGTATTGTATGGAACCATGAGTACATAAAGAAGTCTTGTGTATCAACTTGTACCCTGAGTTTCCATTTCTCTAAAAATAAATAAATAAATAAATAAATAAATAAATAAATAAATGCAAGTCCTTACTCAAAGAAAGGGTAGCTTGACTGCAACCCTACCATCTGTGAGGTTCAAGATGAGTGGACAGTGGCCTGGATAACATAGGAAATTGCAATCAAATATCTACTTCCTTTTTTTTTTTGGGGGGGGGGGGGGAGGATGCAATTAGTTGACTATTTCCCATCTTCAAACTAAAACTTTTTTAGCTTAAACCATTCAGAACACATCCCATATCCATTGTACGCCAGAAACTCAGGATGCTAAGATGGGACCTCAAACAGTTTACCTGAATGGCCAGAAGTATCAAAATATCATAAATCAACACAGTTTGTTTTCATAACAACTCTTCAAATCAAATCTAGATGATTCAATTTGCAGACAAAATACACTGTGACCAGTTTGGGTGCTTTCTTCTTCTGCCTCATATACCTGCTGGGTAAGGGTGAGTGACCAAAACAATATTATTGAGGAAAAGAAGGAAAACTATGTCCTTTCTTTCTTCTTTCCAAAAACATTTCTGATGTGTAGGCTGCCACTGGGAGCTTTGATAGTTGAATGGTAAATAAAAATAGGACTAGATGTTATTCTAAGATAGGTTCTTGAGGATATTATGTACACCTTTATAAATGACCACAATAAAAGACAAACATTAATCCTACTCCTACCTTTCTGAAAAAAAAAATCCGTAGATAATGTCTGAGTAACAGCAGTTATGAGCAATGCAAAGAACTAGTAAAATTTTGTCTTAATATCAGCTGGTCTGAGCCAGCAAACACCAGCACCTCATGACAGAAATTGAATTGCCAATGAAGTGATGACTATATTTTTCTCCCCCCTCCCCCTTTTCAAAAAAAAAAAAAAAAAAAGGAAAGAAAGACAGAAAAATATTTATATTCCTTTTCTACCGTGCATTTAATTCTATCACCAATCAATCACTCATTTCAAATAAAGGTAACTGTATCTAAAGGCTAAGTTATCTGTCCAAAATGGATGATCAAAATATATCAGGCATACCAAAGGCGTTCTTGCACTTGCTATTTCACTGTCAATCAATATCTGCATGGCAACAATAAATAATGACAGATCTAATGCATGCACGATTTTGTTTTCAAATCTTCACATCAGCTTGGTACTTCTACAAATGGGCTTATATGGGAATTTGAACATGTAGAGGGTGGCCTGCATGGTTCCTGTAGCTCAATCCATGATTATTTCAACTGATCCAACTTCTTTCCAGGTTTCGGTTTGATCAAATAATTCAAAAATGTCTAGCAAGATGGATGAATACCCTCAAGAAGCTTTCAGTGAGGATTATCAAACTATTGTCTAGTTTACCCATATAATTTTGCTACTAAATCTTAAAAGTGATAACTGCATGGTTTAAACAGGATGACAGAGAAAGATTTTATCATGTTTAATGAAAAATGACAGTTGGTCTTGTTTTGATCAATTGCTATCAAATTACTCAATTAAATTTTGGCAAATTAAATTTGGAGTGCTTGATGATCTTATCTTATTCAAATAAAAACATCTTCAAAGTATGATACCCATCCCTAAACATCAACTGTCACAGTGGCTTCATCTACATGTAATCGATGATTTCTACACTGAGTACAATTTCTTCATTTAATGATAATGTCATAAGATAAGGTTTGCTTCTAACAGCTCATCTACCAAATCAATGATTATGAAGTGCAAAGGGAGGGGTGTTTCAGGAAGTTTGAAAGAAGCAAACTTTTGGCTGTAAAAGCTCTGCTCTGGATTTGATACCTTTTGGCTAGGAAGGTCTGCTTTGAATCAAATTATCATGTATGATGTCATTTAATTAATTGGGTCAATTAATGAGGCAAAAAGGTCATTTTTGGAAAGCCCCAACCCCCTTAAAATTTCTGTCAACTGGCCTGTATAATTCTTCTTTGTTCCTGCCAAAGTTTTCTCTAAATCAATATCAAATACTGTTTCTTGTTGTTGATCTTATCTTCATCTCATAAGGGTGACAACAACAGTGTTTTAATCAGCACAACTTTGTATGCCATATGCAATATGGGAACAGTGCTATGAACTGCTGTAATTCCCCCAATTCAATTTCTAAACTTGATCAATTTTGAAATGCTGACATAAGATTGTATCAAGGTATCAATAAAGTAAACGTAACACTCAATATTATCATCACAGTGCTGAAAATTGTGGAACTTTTCATGAATCTAATTTTTGTACATTACCATAGCATTTGTAAGAGTTTGCTGATATCACAAATTGATGTAATACAGATTCCAAATATTCCAAAAATGTTCATTGTACCCTAATAGTTTTTTCAACCCCCTTCCAACCTACCTTACTCACCCCTTAAAAAAAAGCTCATCTTACAAAGGTGCCAGAATCCTAACAGACAAATGGTTGTATCATTTTCAAAACTAAAAAATATCCCCAAACATTTTTTAGCTTTTCAATCTAGACTAGTATTGCATCTAAATCAATGATGAAATGATTGCTTTACCAACTACTGATTGGGCCATTACCTGAACCATAGCTCAGGGTGTGTAATCTGGAGAGGAAATATTTGATCAGGAGAAAATGAGCAGGTGAACCTCGTGTGAGTAAGAAGATGATTTTGAAGGTAATAAGACTTAAAGTTTAGATAGAAGCTAACTTGTGTATGATGCTGTAGAACTTTCTATCTCTCTCTCTCTCTCTCTCTCTCTCTCTCTCTGTATGTGTGTGTGTGTGTACATGTGCGTCTGTATATGTGTGCTTGCACATATGAGATAGGGGAAAAGAGAGAAGGAGGGGATGATCATACAGATCATGACGGCATGAAGTGCAAGTGAGCCAGCTATGCCAGTTTTGTGACAAAAACTCAGAAAACATGCATGTAACTATTACAGCTCATAGCAGAGAAAGGACTAGCTGACACTAACAGGATTTATTATTTCCTATGTCTGAGTTGTTCACATTCTTACGGTACTAATATCAATGCCTACATTGTGTAAGGAAAGTAAACATGAAAAAACCCACTGTTTGTTCATGGAAAACATGTTCTGTTTGCTAAAGAGTTTTTCTCATTCTCTGATACTGTATTTCTTAACAGAGAGTACTGGAATATTTTACATCTGTAATATATATTTGATATAATTATATTTTATATCTGATTAAATTAAATGGTTAAAGAACTAAAACAGCAAGATCAGCTTTATACATTTACATCAATAACAAATTTAAGAAATGTAAATTATTATATATAGTAAGCAAATCATAGTATTTCTGATGCTCATCAGCTTTTATGCTTAAGGACTTCATAATGTTGATAACCTTAAAATGATTCAGCTAATAACTTTCTATGAACACCCTCAAACATAAATGAAGAACTTACTTTCATAATAAGTGGGATAACTAAGAAGATAACATGAATCAACTGAGAACCCTGGTCGTGCATCACCAAATATCTTTAAAAACAACAACAACAACAAAAAAAAAAAAAAAAACGGAAATTCATTCTCAGTGACGCCATCAAAATCATGTAAATGTTTGACATTAATCTCACCAAGCTAACTATCTTTTGTCCTTTCCTAAGGTAATATCCTGGTTGTAAAAAAAGAAATCTAATCTATAGTCAAATCACGTAAATATAAATTGTCATTAAAGGTAGTAACCACCTTTAGTTACAAAGATTTTTTCCGCACTGCACCTAATAAAAAGAAATATGGCCAGGAATTTCACTTTACAAAAATGTGCCATCTTAGTGTGGTAAACACATAATACAAAGACTTTTTGTGCTTCAGCTAATGAGAAAA